AAATTACCCCAAAACACCACAAAATGACCCAAAACACCACAAAATTACCCCAAAACACACCAAAATTGCCCAAAAACACCACAAAATTGCCCCAAAACACCCCAAAATTGCCCGAAAACACCCCAAAATTACCCCAAAACACGCCAAAATTACCCCGAAATACCACAAAATTACCCTGAAACACACCAAAATTACCACAAAACACCACAAAATAACCCCAAACCCCCCAAAGTGATACCAAAACACCACAAAATTACCCCAAAACACCCCAAAATGACCTCAAAACACACCAAAATGACTCCAAAACGCCCAAAAATGACCTCAAAACACCCCAAAATAACCCCAAAGTGCCCCAAAATTACTCCAAAACACCCCCAAATTATCCCAGAATTACCCCAAAATACCCCAAAATTACCACAAAACACCACAAAATGACCCAAAACACCCCAAAGTGACACCAAAACACCACAAAATGACCCCAAAACACTCCAAAATGACCCAAAACACCCCAAAATTACCCCGAAATACCCCAAAATGACCCAAAACACCCCAAAATTACCCCAAAATACTCCAAAATGACCCAAAACACGACAAAATTACCCCGAAACACGACAAAATTACCCTAAAACACCACAAAATTACCCCAAAACACACCAAAATTACCCCAAAACACACCAAAATTACCCCAAAACACTCCAAAATGACCCCAAAACACCACAAAATGACCTCAAAACACCACAAAGTGATACCAAAACACCACAAAATGACCCCAAAACACCCCAAAATGACCCAAAACACTCCAAAATGACCCAAAACACCCCAAAATTACCCTGAAATACCCCAAAATGACCCAAAACACCCCAAAATTACCCCGAAGTACCCCAAAATGACCCAAAACACCACAAAATTACCCCAAAACACACCAAAATTACCCCAAAACACCCCAAAATTACCCCAAAACTCCCCAAAATAACTTCAATGCACCTCAAAACACCCCAAAATGACCCAAAACACCACAAAAATGATGCCACGCCCCTGCCCCACCCTTTTGGTGATGCCACACCCCGCCACACCGTTTTTGGTGATGCCCCGCCCGTGCCACGCCCATTTTGGTGATTCCACATCCTATTTTGCTGATGCCACACCCCTGCCACACCCCATTTTGGCGATGCCACGCCCCTTCCCCACCCATGCCACGCCCCTGCCCCGCCCTTTTGGCGATGCCACGCCCCTT